AGGTCGGGCAGAAGATGTTATTAGGCAAATATGCAGCCTAACCGACATCATACCTGGTGCAGAATGGATACCTGTGCCTCAGGCGTTTATTTGTACATTTTCCTGTATTGTCACACTCAACAGGCGATGTAGAGAAGAGAATCCTGTTGCTGTTAATGCAGAGGTCAACGCTCTCATCGGTGAAAATTCAGACGAAGCAGATGCAATAATCTATACAGACGGATCCGTTATACGCCAAAGAAGAAGCGCATGGGCATTTACAGCACGCTCAGCGGGCAGAACAGTCAAAGAAGCCAACGGCGCCTTCTCCATGACAACCAGCAGCATGACGATGGAGGTGATGGCAGTGACACAAGCGCTTGCCTGGCTTGAAACACAAAAATACACCCGCGTGTGTATACTCAGTGATTCAATGAGTATGATCCGGAGGGTTCAGGCAGGTTCAGTGCGAAGACAATGGCTTGAATCATTACAGAAGTCCACTGTCCATAGAGTCACCTTTATTTTTGTTCCGGGACACGCAGGCGTCGATGGAAATGAAAGAGCTGACAGGTTGGCTGGATCCGCTATCACTACCGACGGTCAGCCTATGGATCATGCTGATATTATCAATGCCCTCAGAGAAATGGGAAGGATAGACGACTTTGGTGGCAGTGAATCCACATCACTCGCCAGAATGGCAGACTTGGGAATTAAGATCGGCACAGCAAAAAACGAGACGCACACCAGCTACGCCAGAAGACTTGTTAATCAACATAGAACTGGTACTATTAGCCATCGGACGTTGGGGTTCATACTGAGGGGAGGATCTGAGCACCTATGGACATGTCCGGAGTGCAATGAGGATAACCCAACTAACTAACTAACTAACTAATTGACCTATTTACATCATGTATAGTTAATGTTACTGGCCGAGTTCACGCATGAAAACACATTTAGGAGGGGTCAGGATATGAATACATTAGCTGCGTTGAGTTGAGTCAAGAATTGGCATCACAGCACTCGGAGCATTCCCATGTGTCATCCGTCCTCATCTTCAGCAGCCAGCGCAGAGTTCCAATACTGATGGAACCGGTCACAATCTGGTTATATGTCCATCTTGTCTTTCCTCTGAGCCAGCCACATTAAATTAAATACATTAAATACCAATAGAATTTAAGGGGGTTTTCCTTTGAGCTAAACAGCATTTTTTAAAGCCAAGTGGACGCAAGATTTTTTACAAGCCTCACTGTAGAGGTCACGTGGTCATGGTATGAGTCACCTGGTACATTTGTGTTTTTCAGCCCTGGAAATGTATTCCATGTAATGCTTCACCCCATTCATGTTTATTTCATATATCTTTATACATTTAGAAAAACAACTTTTAAAATGCTGAAATACATTTTGCCTAGTTTATTAGTGACTTGCGTAAAACTTTTTGTTTTTACAGATTTTTTCAGGCATCTTAATAGGGTCATGAACTTTTTTTTTTTAAAGTATAAAATTCCCAAGGTGAAAGGGTTAATATGTCTAACATTCTATTACTTCTTGCTTTTGTGCGTGAATGCTACACTCTGTTTTCTATACACATATTTTTTACGTATATGTGTACATCTGCCATGTCTTTGTGAATGTATGTCTGATTATAGCTTCCAACATATCTGTCTGCCTGCTTGTCATCTGTCTATCTTTGTGTAAATCTGTCTGTATGCGACAGTCTGCGTCTGCCTTTTGTGCACATGTCTGTCTCAGGTCATCTGTTCATCTGAATGGCTCCTCTTTGTGTGGCTTTCGTCCGTGTATGCGTCTGCATTTACCTGTCCATCAGTGGGGCTCTGTGGCCTAGAGGTTAGTGAACACGTTGAACAATTTCAATTTAGGTTTAATTTAGGTGGTGGACGGTTTGGAAAGTGATATGAGAGACTCTCCATGGAGCAGATAGGGGTCTCATCACATAATTTCTACAGATGGCAAAAGCTGCACTGAAGCCAGCCTTCACTTTTCCGTTACAAAATACCCTAAGCATAAAACAACCTAATTTTTTTTTCCCCAGCCCAAAGTTAAGACAATTGATTTTAATCACAATCAGTGTATATGATTATCACCAATTTTAAACTTAAAAAAAAAATTTAGGAAAACATCATCTTATACATACAAAAATATGGTAATTTTAATTACAGTGTCTGTCAGGCTGTGTGTAACTGTGTGTCTGCCTATCAGTATGTTTCCACTGGATTGCGTGTCCTCGCCCACATCTGTCTTTCTAAAGCTCTCTGCATGTACATGTGTCAGAAAATTTTGTGTGTGTGTGTATGTCTGTGTCTACCACCATATCTTTCATAGTGACTGTTTTTCCCCTATCCACATCTGAAATAACACCCGTAAAAACAAAACAAAAAAGTATATATAAAAAGTGAGCAGGATTTATACAAGGTTCAGATCTCGGCAAATTGATGCATGTACCACTGATTTCTAAAGATATTACATATACAGCTGACCTCTTGAGTAGCTGGATCAGACACCTAGCCTTACCAGATAAAAAAGAAAAGTAAAAAATGTCTGTTATTAAACAGATTCTAGGGCCCATGAATGGGGGGAACAAGAACGGATCAACACTGCCTTCCTAACAAATATGTTGTAAGAGTCTACCAGTCAGTCTTGATAGATCATTATGGTCTGAGGAGAATGGCACTGCGAGAAGTTACAAGGGGATCTGGCCGACGCTTGACAGGTGAGGGGCGAGAAGGATATACTATCAGACTGTTACTGGTACCATCGGAATTTTAACTCTTTGCTTGCTGCTTAAGATGGGGACGGAGCGCTTATTGGAGTGTCCGGAGTGCTGTGATGTCGATTCCTAATTCAACATTCAACATTCTTCAAAGTTAGAGTGCATCTGCTTGAGAGGAAAAGAACCAGCAGTATGCATACAAAAAAGCCAGATCTGTAAAATGGATGTGCACGTAACACTCAAGTTCTGGAAAAGATTAACATCCAGAATGGAATGAGCAACCAGAACTTTGCATTGGAAGCTGACAGCAAATGAACGCAAAGAAGATGAAGAAAAAACCAGATGCCACAAGATATAATGGCCGCTGACCTTCAAAAATTAGGAGAGTGGCAGATAACAGTGAGACAATAACTGCATTCACAAAAGAAGTGAATGGGAGCAGACCATAAGGCAAACCAGGAAGATGGTGGAGAGATAACATACAGGCAGACACACAAGCACTCTGAAGTAAGATAACATACAGGCAGAAATTCAAGCACTTTGAAGTGAGATAATATACAGGCAGACATACAAGCACTTTGAAGTGAGATAACATACAGGCAGACATACAAGACATTGAAGTGAGATAATATACAGGCAGACCTACAGGCACTTTGAAGTGAGATAACATACAGGCAGACATACAAGCACTTTGAAGTGAGATAACATACAGGCAGACATACAAGACTTTGAAGTGAGATAACATACAGGCAGACTTACAAGCACTTTGAAGTGAGATAACATACAAGCAGACATACAAGCACTTTGAAGTGAGATAATATACAGGCAGACATACAAGCACTTTGAAGTGAGATAATATACAGGCAGACGTACAAGATTTTGAAGTGAGATAACATACAGGCAGACCTACAAGTACTTTGAAGTGAGATAACATACAGGCAGACATACAAGAACTCTGAAGTCACCAAATGGAAAGAAGAGTCTAACCACAGAGATGAATGGAGGCATGCAAATCTGCAGCAATGGCCCTCAAGGACACGGAATGGTAAAGACAATGAAGAAGAAGAATTAGCTTTAAATGACTCACAACTGGCAGTGTTTATGATAACAACTTTTGGCATTTTTGAGATTTATCTTATTCAGCAATTTAAAAAAAAAATGATCAAACAATTTTTCAGTATGACTGTTTAGGCAAAGAAATATTTCGCAGATTAAATAAAATATGCTCACAATGTTTCTTATACTGATCACAACCATAGTAAAATAAATTAACTTATACAAATGACAGCTGATGGCCCATATAGACAGGGAGTCAATAAAAGACTCATCTGGCGCATCAGGCAAATGGTTCTACACCTATATTTTTACAGACTGACTGGCCCTTGATGGGTCATGTGATCAATATCACTCCGGCCACCTAGACTTCCCAGGACATCACCTGATACCCATACTAGGCTGAGAGCAAAAGTAGGTTCTTTAAAAAAAAAAAAACAATATCCGCTTCAATGTGACATTGAACCCTTGACCTCTAGGCCAGGTCCCACATAAAAAGTGGATACTAACAGAGATGATGATAATGCCAGGGTGGTCTGTCACAACCACATGACAAAGTGGATACTAACAGATGATGATGACGCCAGGGTGGTTTGTCACAACCACATGACAAAGTGGATACTAACAGAGATGATGAGTCCAGTGTGGTTTGTCACAACCCATGACAAAGTGAATACTAACAGATGAGGATGTCATGGTGGTTTCTCACTACCAAATGACACCATGGTGGGTTTATTTACTAATACATGACAGATTGGTAATTCCCCACAGATCTCACCAATGAGGTTCTTACAACCTAAGACAGGCTGGTGGCTTCTCACTAACAAATAACACTCTGGTGGTTTCACACTACCATGTGACAGCCTGGATAATAACTGGTGATGTCATAGTGGTTTCTTTCTACCAGATGACATCATAGTGGCTTTTCAATGGTTGCTAACTAACAGATGATACTGTGGTGGTTTTTCACCACGATTTGACAACATGGTGGCTTTTTACTACTACATGAAAGATCAATGGTTGCTTACTAACCATTGGTGGTTTCTCCCTATAAAAAGACAGACTAGCTACTAATTACTGATGACATGGTGATTTTTTGCTAACAGACGACACCTTGGTGATAATTTACTACCACAATACAGATCAGTGATTGCTTACTAACAGATGATGTCATGATGGTTTCTCACTAACAGATGTCACCATGGTGGTATTTTACTATCACCATGGTAGTTTCTTGTTAACAGTTAACGACACTGCGGTGGCTTCTCGTTAACAAAAACTGCCCATTTGGCTGTAAAATGTTTGTGACAGTGCGTACTGGTATATTATCTACAGCAGCCCCATTTCTGTGGCTATGAAGCTCACCACCATGTACCAAACGACCTCTATGCCGCTGCCGTAAGAAATATCTGTGCTGTTCCTGTGTACGATTTCGTCTGTTTTCTAGATAAGTCCTTGTATTGTGTCGTTCTCTTTCTACATTCTGTCGGTTTTCTATACTGGCTCGATGGTCGTCTGCACCATTTTCTCTAGCAACATTTCTACGGTTATCATTGTCAATCCTGTGTCTATCCGCCTCTACAAGATTATTCTCTTCATTTTCATTTTCCCGATTTTCTATTTCTCGTTGCCGGTTTATTGGCTCGATTTCTCTATGCTCATTTCTCTGATTCTCCAACACAATTTCATTATAATGAATGTTTCTGTTAAATATTCCCATTCCTCCTTGTTGTCTTGGTGTATACGCGGAAACTACTCGCAGCACTTTCACCATCAGCTCGTTGTGCGTTCTATCACAATATAAGAATACAACTAACATCAGAAACAACCAGCTGAAGGCACTTGTTGATTTATCCTCTAATCCCAAAATCCCACAGGTGAAATGGAAGACGATCCACAATACCCAGTAAAGAGTGTTCACAAACAATTTTCCAAAGCCAAAAGTAATCAAGTTTGCTACAGCTAATATAACTTGGGCTAGAAAGAAAGCCATTACTTTGAATATGTCTATGATTGCTCCAATAAGCATAAAACAGTCACCAAAAACTGAAGCAATGTGTGATTGTAGGACACAGATATCAGATTGATCCGTGAAATAATTTTCACATATATTCATTCTGTCCTTGTAAATCCCTCATTTCTCATTGTATATTTTGATATACCGCCAAGGAAAATGAATCAAATGAAGCGGATATGAATCACATATATCAAAAATTTTATTGCTATAGATCCGTTGGGTGCATTTGAGAACAATAAATGCAGCGATAACTGGAGGCATTATAAATTCTTGCTTTCTGGATCATGGAATACCAAAAACTGGAGATTCGGAATGGCTAAACAAGTTTGCTGCTTCACCAATATTGAGAAATCTCTTAGGATCCAAGGGTTCGATATGAAACAAACCAAACAGGATCAAACTGAAATCTGCACCACTGGATCAACTTAAAACATGCCAAACAGGCAACAGCATATCTAATTAGCTGCGTAACCTCTATTCTCCAGGGTAGAAAAGGAGTGACCATAGTAAAACACCGATAATCGTCTTGATAAGTCCATACATTTGAGAATAGCTGACAAATTCGAGCAAGTAAATTTGTTATCTTGGGCTATCTGGCTAGGTCCCCTCTGTGCACGAACTCCACATTCCTGGTAGAAAGAGAGTAAAAACATGAAAATCTGTACTCAGGTTACTATTAGAAAAAAAGCACATAGAAATAGTACACTCAAACTGTTATTTGTATACATAGTCCTCTTAAACAGTGTAAAGGTAAAAGAACATTTTATCATCTGTCAAAAACCAAGGTGAAGATTAAAATCTGTTCCTGAATTTCAAGACAAAAATGTCCACAGACATTTACCCAAAAATAACAACAAATTATCAAAAAATTCAAAATGTCGCAAGCTTCGAATATCTTGACTCCATAAAAAAAAGCAACGGAAACTGTTCAACAGAAATCAAAAGGAGGATGGCAATAACAATGCAAAGATTAAACAGCATTAAAAGTCTACAGTAATGCATCAGAAAGGAAAGCAAAGATGGATCACCACAGTGTGGTGAGATTGATGCAGCGGGGAGTGACGAGAGGTTCTGGCAGATGCTCGAGGCTCAGAGGAAAGGCAAGACGGACGTTTAATCAGAATTCTACTGGCACCATTAGTATCGGAACTCTTCACTGGCTGCTGAAGCGCTTATGGGAATGCCCCGAGTGCTGTGATGTTGGTTCTTGAATCAAATCAAAATCAAATCAAAGGAAAGCAAAGTGAACATTGTAAAAGCTTGCAACTTTCCTGTAGCAACATACGGTTGTGAGACGTGGACTCTCTCCCAGTCATTAAGGAAGAAAATATGGGCTTGAGATAAAGTGCTTTACAAAGATTTTCAGAATATCATGAACTAAGAAGAACATAAATAATGGCTTCCTGAAAGATCTGAACATCAAGGAAGATTGACTAGTAAACTGCATCTTTTCTCAGAAACTGATATATTTTGGCCAAAGCAGATTGGAATGAATAATAGCAGAAGGCATGGTACCAGGAAACAGGGTTATCGACTAACCAGCACAAAGGTGGACACAGGACAAAAGTAACACCTTGGGTAGAAAAGTGCTTGAGGAGGGAGGGCTAGTGAGAGAGCAAGTTGTTTTTTTCAGATTAGAGACGTTCTGCAAAGGACCTGCTGCATGATAATGAGATACATTACATGGTTAATAATTGCCCAGTTGCCTGGCCAACTACCTGTAGCCTTCCTGGCAACGACCGTCAGTAGTATTAATCATTTATACAATATTTCATTCAAACCATCTGGGTCACTATAACTCTGATATACATAGACTATATATTTGACTATTTCAATCATCATCATCATGTAGCAGGTCCTTTGCAGAACGTCGCTCTCATCACAGTCTGCCTAAAAGAAACTCGGTCTTTCGCCAGTTCTCTCGCCTTATATACTTTCACACTTAAGGAGTCACTTATATCCTGTGCCCATCTTCATGTCGGTCAGGCCCCTGCCCCTGCTTCCTGGTACCATGCCTTCTGCTATAATTTTTTCCAATCCGTCGTGGCGCTTGATATGACCAATATATTTCAGCTTTCGAGAAAGGATGCTGTTTATTTGACAATCTTCCTTGATGTTCAGATCTTTTAAGATGTCAATATTTCTCATCTTCTTTGTCCAAGATATTCTAAGAATCTTTCTATAGCATTTCAGCTCAAAAGCCCTTATTCTCTTTCTTAAGGAATGAGAGATAGTCCACGACTCACATCCGTATGTAGCCACAGGGAAGATGCATGCTCTCAAAATTCTAATTTTTATATTCTTGCTGGTGCTTAACCATAGACTTTTAAGGCTGTTCAATCTTTGCATTGCTATGGTTATCCTCCTTTTAATTTATGTCGAACAGTCTCCATTGTTGTTTATTATAGAGACTAGATATTCACAGTTTGTGACATTTTTAATTTCTTCATCCTTTTTGTTATTTTTTTTATGACAGCCAGTTTTATCTGTGGACATTATTTTCGCATTCTTTAAATTCAAGAATAGATTTTGTCCACGATGAGTTTCTTGGGATAATAATGTGGTAGCTTCCCGTTGCTTTCCACATCCCCATGGCTTTAGACCATGTCCTCAGCCTTCAGCAACCTTTTCGATTGCTAGGGCAAGTGAGTGCCCTGCTCTGTGATGCTCCTGCTAACAGCAGAGGGCACCCCAGAGGTGTCCACATCCCGGCGGATACTCGGTCCCCATAGCTGCGTTGGCCACACCGCAGTGTGTTTACCGTCTTCTACAGCGTGGAGATGCAGTTGGGGTTTTCCCTTCACTGAGTCTTGTGACCAGAATGGCATTTCCCAAAACTCTCCAGTATTTTCAGAGGAGGACTATTTCAATAGTGAACATTACTGTCTTGTTGTCTTGGCGCATTTCCTTCTTACGATACATCATTTAACACCGTGTATGTAAACCTTTGTTATTGTTTTATAACTTTACAACTATGTCAGTTTGAAATGTAATACAAAGAAGAATATTCATCATCACCATCATCATCCTGTAACACTGCGTGCCATTGGGTCACCAGTTTCAGTTGACTATATGATCAGCTTTCTCCACCTCTGGCGGTCAGTTGCAAGGGACTTCATTGCTGCATGCCCGAGGCCTGTCCAGTTAGTCAGGTTCTGTAACCAGGTATTTATTGGTCTACTTCTTCTCCTCCCTCTACGAGCCCTGCAGTATTGTTTCTGAGAGACCGTTAGATCCATACTACTGCATTTTTAGCTTTTTCACTGTAGTTAAAAGTGGTTCATTGTTGCCAATTCACTGTATAATTATATGGCGAACCTCTTGGTTTGTAATGTGGTCTCTGTATGATGTGCCAAGAATTTTTCCCCAATATAACATTTCTAATGCTTGTATCTTTCTTTTAAGTTCAGCTGTTAAGGTCTACGTTTCACAGCCATATGTAAATGTACTAACAGCTAGTGCCCTGAGCAATCAAATCTTAGTATTGCATGAAATGTTTTTGGATCTCCATAATCTTTGCTGCTTCGCAAGGAGTGATGTTGTCTGAGCAATCCTAGACATGATTTCTGATCTTAACCCAGATCACTTAAAACTGATCCTAAATATTTTAAATGATTGGCTCGTTCTAATTTATGACCTTTAACATACATTGGTGAAGCTATGCCAGCTGGATTATTAGTCATTCCTTTCGGTTTTTCTGCATTTATTTCCATGCCATACTTGGCTGATGTTTCATCGCGAAAATTTACAAGCTCGACTAGCTCTAGTTCTTCCCTGGCCAACCCATTGACGTCAACTGCAAACCTTGTTTGTTATAGTTTGACCTCCGATACTAACTGTTCCATGATGTTGTTCTAGAGCATCAGTCATATTCTTTCTAAAAATATGTTCAACAGTTTTGGAGAGAGGAGGCAGCCCTGACAGACTCATTGTTGTTCGGAACGAGCTTCCTATTTGTTCATTCAGCATGACAGCACTACTGGCCTTGGCATAAAGCTATTTATATTATGTATGAGGGTGTTACTTACAGTGTACTTTTTAACAGTGTCCCAGAGTGCTGCATGCCACACTCTATCAAAGGCCTTTTTGTAGAATATCACATTTATCAATTGTCTCCACAATGAAGGGTTGCTGCATTGGATCTCCAAAACGCTGTATCTCTTGTCCTGGTTGTCCACTCTCTCAGACTGCTGCCCTTGTGTCCAAACACCTGTATCATTATTTACCTCTTGCTCTATTGCCTCCCCTCCAGTATAAATCTGTAAAGAGTGTTATCTCTGTTACTTATTACTTTGAATGAACATTTAATGTTGCCTAAATAATTAGTGTATTTACTCTTTTTTTTTTGTTGTTTTTTTGTTCTTTTCTATAACTTTAAGTAACTCTTTTCCTTCTATCCAGAAAGTTCTAAGTTTGAAATACTGTGTCAATCATTTGGCTGAAACATTTACTTACATGCAGGTATACCCTAACGAACATTCCAAACGCATGACTCAAGGCTTTTCTACTACAGTATGTTTAGTTCGTTGAGTGCACCATCACATAGTGAAGAAAGATCGTATTTTTGTGAATGGAAACAAAATAATATTAACAATAATAAACATCCAAGAACTGCGTTGCATTACTGCAAAATACAAAACGTCGTTGCTTACTACACGGTGCCGTATGCAAATAAAAAAAACTGCGGTTGCATCGAAAACGAATCACGCACAAAGGTATTACTTAGGTGGAGAAGAACACACTGGAGACTGTACCGAGTACTGTTCTTTTCCTGGTGCCAGGACTTTGGTTCGTTTCGGTGACTCTGCAAGTCCATGTTTTGAGGTTGTCAGCACCCAGATTTTCACAGAATGTTCTGTGAGTGTATTGGAATAATGCGTGGAAATATCTGGGGAAGTCAAGGTGTGTGGGAATTAGGCATGGAAATGTCAGGGGAAGTCAATGTGTGTGGGAATTAGGTGTGGAAATGTCAGGGGAAGTCGAGGTGTGTGGGAATTAGGGTGGAAATGTCAGGGGAAGTCAAGGTGTGTGGGAATTAGGTGTGTAAATGTCAGGGGAAGTCAAGGTGTGTGGGAATTAGGTGTGGAAATGAGCCGGGAAGTCAAGGTGTGTGGGAATTAGGCATGGAAATGTCAGGGGAAGTCAAGGTGTGCGGTATTTAATCGTGGAATTGAGCCGGGAAGTCAATGTGTGTGGGAATTAGGCGTGGAAATGTCAGGGAAAGTCAAGATATGTGGAAATTATAAGCGGAAATGAGCGTGGAAGTCAAGATGATTGAGAATTAGGCTCCCCTTTCGTTTCTTCTCAAAACAGGAGGGGGGGGGGGGGGGGGTTGTGTAAAGGTTGACCATCTCTTTTTGATATTGTGATACGTTTTCTTGCTGCTCTCGCCTCTTTTAAAACATTTGAATTATTTTTTTTTACCTTGCCGAAATATTTGTAAGCATTCTTTTTGAGAACGAACCTTCCAAGGTATGTAAAATAACTGAAGTCTAGAAAAGCTCAGGCAAAAGCAGGATTTCACAAAATGAAGATTATTCTTTGCAAATTTTTTTTCAGTGGAGGTGAGAAAGACTTCTTAAGAGCTATGTAAAGATTTCCAAATGTAAGGCAGTGAATTATGGACAGTCGGCAAATAAATGAAAAATCATTTGAAAGCTGCAGAGGTTTTACAAAATACCGAGGAAAACATCATTTGCACATACACACACACATACACACACAAACAGAGAGAGAGAGAGAGAGAGAGAGAGAGAGAGAGAGAGAGAGAGAGAGAGAGGCTTACTCACGAAGAAGAAGATAAGATTTGGGGATAAAAGGTTTAACTCGTAAAGACAAGCTATTGCTCGCATCAGAGAAAGACAGTCATATCGTAAAGGGATAAGAGGTAGTTGGGGGAGTGTGGGTGTGTAACTAGTTAGTTGCTTAGTTGATCAACCGCACATCGGACAAGTTCCCAAGCGTTCTTAGCTCGGATTCCATCTTCAGTATGTCCATCAGCGTGTGAGGACAGAACACTAGTTCTGTGGTGGTTTACTATTTTTCTTTGGCTACCTGTATAGTGTTCAGGGCTGGCAATACGTCTGTTGACCTAAAGTTCTTGTATTATTTTGTATGTCTCCGATTAACCATCATTTCCTGTATCGTCCACTCGTTCTGCCTTCTTCAGAGCGTTGAGAACATCGATCCTGTTTATTGCTTATTCTTTTCCTACCACGAACAAAGAAGAGTAGAGATACTGACATTCTGAAAGAAAATTGATTTTAAAAAAAAATCCTTAACACCGGCGTGGATCCTGAAATATTTTGGGTAAATTGTTATTTCCAAATTTTGCACGTGTAGCTGCGTTAGACGTCATGGAGGTCTAGAGAGAACAATAATGGAGGGGTATATGCCTGGGAAGAGAGGAAGAGGAAGGCCAAGGAGAAGATGGGTGCAGGATGTGGCAGATGATCTCCAGATGGGTGTATCAGACGCAGGACATCTTGCTCATGATAGGAAGGTTTTCCGGAGGGTTGTTATGGCAGCGAGGTTCCGCGAGGGACATGCTACTGAATGAATGAATGAATGAGCTGCGTTAGGCTACTCTTTTCGATTTCCAGCTGCAACCAGAAGGCGTGGCACCAGGAAGGGAAAAAAAGGGAGGGGGGTTAGGGTGGCGACCAATACGAAGATCGGCACAGGATATAAGTGAATCCTTGGAGATGAAAGTGCATGAAGCGGAAGAGCTGGTAAGAGGCCGAGTTTCTTTAAAGCAGACTGTGATGATAGCGACGTTCTGCAAAGGACTTGCTACAAGCTGATGTTGATTATCTAACTATAAACAACTGGAGTAAGTCGCAAGATTGGAAGGGATGAGTGGAAGACCAAGAGGGAAAACGTTGGACGAAGATCATTCTAGCACGAAAGAACTCTTGTTTCAAAATTGATTGACAGTATATGGGACAGAAGATTGGGGACAGAATTAAAAAAAAAAAAAAATAACAGGTCACTCAAACCGGAAGTGACCTTTTATAATGGCGTTATCAACATAGTGGAAAAACTGTTTTGTAGTTTAGTAGTGTGTAGTTGTTCATCGACGATATTTCAACTTTTCTGTTCAGAGCTACAGTCTAACACTCGATGTATCGTTCATTGTACAGGACGTGAACAGCTGGCAAGATGTAAACAAGACCTTCCTTATGTTGCTCTAAAATATGGGCCGTAAAACGTGTTGTCTGCGTCTGGCAGCACACACTGCACTGAGGAGAGCTGACAGTTACCACAGACCGACCTAAACTTTGTGGTTACTTTATCTTTAGTTGAAAGTGTAATTCCTTGATGGCCTAATATGCTTGATTAGCATCTGTCTCGATAAGGATAATACAGATTGCACGGTAGGCTAGAAGTACTAGAACAATAGACTGGCTTGGACAACATACAGTTATTAAAATTTTTAATATAGAAGACAACCAACCAGACCTAATTAACCGAACTTTGCATAGTAGTAGTACTAGAAATTAAGAAATAGCTGCTGGGACGTGAGCAGACAGATAATGTGAAATGAACAGTTGTAGTATATCTTTTGACACGTGATCGTAGTTAGAGTACTTGTTGACACGTATTCATAGAGTTGTTTCTTTGTGACTCTGGAATACTGAATTATACCAGTATCACCAAATAATGAATACATTAAAGCATTTGTTGATAATTTTGGGCAGATATTCTTGAGTATAAAGACAACAGTGTATACTAAAACCGATAAACAAAAGAAATATTGCTGGAGTAACAATCACCGTCGGATCCATCGGATATTGTCATTGACCACACCACATCGCTAAAGGAGCAAACAGTCTGTATTTTGTGTCATTTTCCCCCCCAAGGTTGGGACCCTCATCACAGCATGTTTCAAAATGCTTGAGCTATTTGTTTCTGGCTGCACAGCTGTTGCAGGGGGTGTGAGGATGTTTGTGGATGCTCTGAAGTATGTTGCTCGTGTCAACTTTGAACTTGTGGCTACAGTAGTCGAAGCTGTGAAACATTCTGCAGTGGTAACAGTGTCCGTTTATTGCCAGTTAAAAGACCTTATTTCAGTGGCTGCAGTGAGCACGGCTGATTTGTTTCATGAGATTTATATTGTTCTCATGATAACTCTCGCAACAGCGGGAAGGAGCATTGTGTGCATCTGCAGTGGTCTTCATTGTTTTTATGCAAATGTCACCAGTGGTTGCCTCCTTTGTTACAGTTACATTTATGCTTGCTGTCAAACAGTTGCGCACACTGTTATATTTATAAGTGACATTTTGGCTTTGTCTGCAAACATCAGTATTAATTTAGCTATTACTGCTGTTTCAACATTGTTTGTGACAGTAACCACAGTAGGAAGTTACTGTTATTACTTTGTCACTGGCGTCTGGCAAGGACTGGGCTTTGTTCTATCATCTGTTGCATTATTCCCCACATACTGCGTTCAGAGTTTAAAGAACATTTGGATGAGATCTCTGGAAACACTTACAAATGTGCTAACTGTCACAACTAAAGAGACATATCTTGGAATTATTGTACTGTGTTTAGTTTATCTCACACTATCCAACACTTTCCGATACTTGTACTCCAAAGGCTTGCCGTTGTTTCCTCGTAGACTTCGCAGCCGAAGACATAGAGACTACACTACTCACTGGCAGTTTGATCGAGGATTTGAGAGTGACTTTGATGATTTAAACAGCTCAGACACCGAGGATGTGTCTTGGGTTGCCCCAGCAGATACCGGTAATGACAGTGATGCTGATTCAGATGAGGATGACAACAGAGACATCAGGATTGATCAAGATTCAAACATCTCAGAAAATAATTCAGATGCTGATGAAGAAAGTAGCGCAGAAGAAGACACTGTTGTAACGGAAGAATCAGACAGTGATGCTTCTGTTAACTCCCACACTTTCTCGACAGAATCAAGTGATCATGAAATAGAAGTGCAGCTACCCCCACCAGACAAATGCTATAGCTTGTGTAGTAGGTCTTCCACTCCCTCCCGTATATCGAAAACTGTCAGCCCGGAGGAGTTTTATAGAGAGATGGAGAGAGAGCGAGACAAAAGAAAGTGTGTCATTTGCCAGGACCAGATTAAATCTGTGCTGATACTTCCGTGTAGACATATGTGTATGTGTGTTTTATGTGCTGGCCAGATTGTCAGGTCACGAACTATTGAACGGCGAGTGTGTCCATTGTGTCGGACTAGGATTACTAAAGTCATGAATGTGTATGTATGAAGGATGTACTTTTAAAATAAATATAACCAAACATTTGGATAACAGTATCTCCATTATAGTAAATAAGTTTTCTATGTTAAGGTAACTGGATCATAAACAGCATCCTGTCTGAAAAGCTGATTTATTGTGGCCATGTTAAACGTCACAGTGGCCTGGAGAGAAAGCTGATGTACTGTGTCCATGTTAAACGTCACGGTGGCCTGGAGAGAAAGTTGATGTACTGTGGCCATGTTAAACGTCACGGTGGCCTGGAGAGAAAGCTGATGTACTGTGTCCATGTTAAACATCACGGTGGCCTGGAGAGAAAGCTGATGTACTGTGGCCATGTTAAACGTCACGGTGGCCTGGAGAGAAAGCTGAAGTACTGGGGCCATGTTAAACGTCAGGGTGGCCTGGAGAGAAAGCTGAAGTACTGGGGCCATGTTAAACGTCAGGGTGGCCTGGAGAGAAAGCTGATGTACCGTGTCCATGTTAAACGTCACGGTGGCCTGGAGAGAAAGGTGATGTACTGTGGCCATGTTAAACGTCACGGTGGCTTAGAGAGAAAGGTGATGTACCGTGGCCATGTTAAACGTCACGGTGGCCTGGAGAGAAAGGTGATGTACTGTGGCCATGTTAAACGTCACGGTGGCTTAGAGAGAAAAGTGATGTACTGTGGCCATGTTAAACGTCATGGTGGCCTGGAGAGAAAGGTGATGTACTGTGGCCATATTAAACGTCACGGTGGCTTAGAAAGGTGATGTACTGTGGCCATGTTAAACGTCATGGTGGCTTGGAGAGAAAGGTGATGGAGGGTGTAGTTTCTGTAAAACGAGGCAGAGGCAGACCTCTGTGAACGTGGATACAAGGTATTGAAGTTGCATTGGCTGTAAAAAATGCCTACGGCCGGAGAAAGTTTCTGGCATGCCATGATGAGAGCGATGTTTTGTAGAGGATCTGCTCATTGATGATGATGATGTTAGGGTTCTTTGTGTAATCCATTTCTTTGTTGATGATGTCAGTGCACAACCTGCTGTCTTGTGTTTGTCCTTCATTTCTGATACATATGTTTCTCTAGACAAGTGGTTCCCAACCTTTCTAATGCCGCGACCCTTTAATACAGTTCTTCATGCAGTGGTGACTCCCCCCCCCCATGAAATTATTTTCTTTTCTACTTCGTAACTTCAGTTAATTTGTGTTTTTGGATGGTTTTAGGCGACCACTGTGAAACAGTCGTTCGGCCCTTATAAGGGCAGCGACTTACAGGTTGAGAACCGCTGCTCTAGACTATGATACCAAATAGTCCATCTTCTCTCGTAATCGCCCCGTCTTTCTTCTCCTTCTTTCCTGTCGTCACAAGGTACTTCCAGTTTTCCTCTATTCATGATGTCCCCAGAGATATCGGACTGTGGTCTTCTGATGTGAGTGACCTGTTTTCTCAGTGAGTTAATTTCTCTCAAGGCATTTTTTTCATTGCACTCTTTATCTGTACACAACATACTTATCATTTCTTCTTTCACATCTGTATGACTTGCCTGTAGTATCTGACCTAAAACAGGTGGCAGCAAACTGCCAGACATGGAGAGCTATGACCTTTGCCCTGTGCGCCGCCCTAGCCTCAAGAGGAAAGACTAACTAATATCTGACCAATCAGCTGATTATTTAGGATAAACTTAATTTTTTTATGCTGTGTTTATGTAAATATACTGTGTTAGCACAGTCGATAGAAGACTCACTTTCAAATCCAGCTGCGACTCGCCGCAGCCCACAGCCAGTGTTCGAAACTGGGTGGTTCCTAGGGTTCACCCAGCCTCTAGGTAATGGGTACCAGAGTTAACACTGGGGTAAATGCAGGAATGTTGCTGTAGCTACGGAGTTGCATGCAGACGGTGACACAGTTTCTTATTGGCTGTCCGTACTGGTGGCAGAGCATTTGTGGTTTATAACCGTGTGCAATGGCGCTAGTTCACATCTCCTGACTTAACCTTTTTCCTTTATATGTAAATGTGAAACATGGACAATGAGCAGGCAAGCTAATAAATATTTACTAGCAGTGGAGGTGTGGATTTTGAAACAAATGCAAAGAATATTGTTAAATAATAGAAACACAAATAAGGCAAGCCTCCTTGGGACAGATGAAAACCATAAACTTATTAGAGTAGTTGGATGTAGATGGTCTACCTGATAACCAAGGTCATTTTTAAAAAAAGTCAGGCTACGAGCAAGGAGAAGGTTAAGAGATAAAACCGAAGATGGCATGAGGCAAGAATGCTGATTATATCCATGATTTTGGTGATTGTATGAGATGGCCAAATATGACAGCCTATGCTTACGCATACAGCATATGATTGTAATGATATGTATGTGACCGTATTTTTGTGAAACATGTACCTATTGATAGAACCAGTAAACTATTTGGCTATAAGTGTTATCATTTGCAGCATCTTGTTATTTCTGCGTTCCAATTAATTTTCTTTGCTGCAAGCACTTTAATGGTTAATAATTATTCATTCCCCCTGGAGTTTACAACTGGTCAGCCCTGAGAAGAAGGTGAAAACTTTACTAAAATTTATTCTAAAGTCACCCCAGTACAATTTATTCAAAAACACTCCACTAAAGTGTATTATGAAAAAACACATTTCACTATAGTTACCTGTGATAGTTATAAAAAAAAACAACAAAAAAATTAGATTTGCTTAAGCTGGAAACTTCTTCTTTTGTTTTTAAAAGGATGGTTTGCACTTTGTATTGTGGTTTTCAGATAGGCTGCGATATACGTGCTGTACAGCTGACCACATCTGATTTCAGCAATGCTTTTATTAGTTGTCTTCTATAACATGCTTGTTAAGGGAGCAGTGTGTCTCTTTCCTCCACCCCCACAATGGAGCTACAGAACCCACATTGGGAAGGTGGAAACTGCATTTAGACAGAATTGTCAGGAAGATGTGGGGGGGGGGGAAGAACTAGACCTGATAAAATGGGATCAATTGTCTGTTTATTTTGACTATTTCCAAGTTTACAGTGTTACTTTGGTGTGTATGTGTGTGAGTTTGTTCTTAGTGTTATGCCATTTGTTTACACTTTTGCTGTGGTCTATGTCTTATTGACATAGCTTGTTGTAATGATAATATTTTTGTTTTACTTTTATCACAGGGATGACGTAACCCAAATGTTATGTTCATGACTTTCTTTTTATTTGTTTTCACATTGGTGCATGGTGAAATGATAATTGTGTGCTCTCTTTCTCTCTCTCTCTCTCACTTGATATACAATTTTACTGCAAGTTGTAATAATTAGTATATCTGATTTTAATTATTTAACTATTTTAGCAATTACTAAACAAATTCAAGCTTAGAACAGGAAGATTTTTTGGATATCAAGAAAAAAAAACACGAGGAAATAGTACTGAAATTTTTTATAATATGAATATTTAGGGGGACTGGCTCATAGGCAGTGCCATTACTTGTATTCAATAGATCATCTCCGACCACATTTTTAAGTTCAATATTATTTTGACCAGTTCATTGTTTAAAAGTAATTTTTTTTTTTCAAATACAGTGGTCGAATTTTTTTGTTGTTTTTTGTTCTTGGACTTAGAAAGTAATAAACACCATCATTTTCTAGTAAGGGTAGTAATGAAGGAATAGGCAGGTGCTGACCAGCATGGTGGTGGACACAGGATATCGAGGACACCCTGGGCCTACAAATTCACCATAAGGGAATGTTGACTGAGGAAAGGGTGACTTTCTGGCCTGCAGTGATGAGAGAAATGTTGACTGATGAAAGGGTGACTTTCTGGCATGCAGTGATGAGAGAAATGTTGACTGATGAAAGGGTGACTTTCTGGCATGCAGTGATGAGAGAAATGTTGACTGATGAAAGGGTGACTTTCTGGTATGCAGTGATGAGAGAAATGTTGACTGATGAAAGGGTGACTTTCTTGTATGCAGTGATGAGAGGAATGTTGGCAGAGGAAAGAGTGACTTTCTGGTATTCAGTGATGAGAGAAATGTTGGCAGAGGAAAGAGTGATTTCCTGGTATGCATTGATGAGAGGAATGTTGACAGAGAAAAAAGTAATTTCCTGGTATGCAGTGATGTGAGGAATGTTGACAGAGAAAAGAGTGATTTCCTGGTATGCAGTGATGAGAGAAATGTTGACTAATGAAAGGGTGACTTTCTGGCATGCAGTGATGAAAGCAACGTTCTGCAAGGTGTTGCTACAGTGGTTGATGTAGTTAATTTACTTGTTGAGATATCAAATGTTGCTGCTGTCACAGGTGACTCTAGTAACCAGTGCAACATTCTTTTGCTGTTGTTTTTAGCATCGGATGCATTGTGCTTAGGTTTTCACATATTATTCACACACATACACAAAATCTGTATATCCCAGTTCTGACCCAGATGGGCTGAACAAGATATTGTTGTTAAAATTACTACTCTGCTGAAATGTATGAGGCTGCTGGCCCAAGGGTTAAAATGCTGGGCTCGCAAGCAGGACACCCGTGTTCTAATCCTCAGTAATGCTAGGGATTTTTTCTGTTGAGGACTGCCTAAAATCCTCACCTGTACAGTCGTGGCGACAGCACTAGCCATGCGGCCATACATCCTCAGGCTCAAAGATTCCCTTGCCTACACTGCAGAAGTGGTATAATAAAGGCAGAAATGGGCAGTTTTTTGGCTGAAATGTGTGTTTTAGCTGGGGTGTCTAACATTGATACTCGGCACATGAGCTTGTACGAAACAGTTCTGTTTAGTTCAGAGCTACGTATAATGCATGAGATGTGGTTCTTGAGAAGAATGTTGCGAATACTTTGCACTGCCAGAATAACTAACAAGGATTGCCTGGAAATGGCTAATGAAAGTAGAACATTATATACAACAATAAGAAGGAGACAAACAAAGTTCTTTGGTCATGTGATGAGAAAAAGAGCACGGGATAATATTTTGACGGCTGGAAAGATCACTGGTAGAAGACGCAGAGGCAGACCGGAGAATGATGGCTCGAGACAGTGGTCTGGA